TAATTTTTGTGCAATGTACTTCAATCCTTTCATGGCAGTCCAAGGGAGATTTCCATGGAGCTGAAGATTACTATTTGCGCGCTACACTAGCGAATCCTCAAGATGGTGAGTCTTTACTTGAGTATGCTAAGCTGGTTTGGCAGCTCCATCATGACCAAGACAGAGCCTTGAGTTACTTTGAACGTGCAGCTCAAGCTGCTCCTGAAGACAGGTGATTAATTTCCTTTATAAATCCATCTCCAAGAAAATTTGAAATCTAATTTCACAGCAGAAAATCTAAATTATCGTACATATTAAGTTGGGTTAAGTTCTAGGTTGGTTTGTTTACAAAAAATCAAGTAGTCTCAAACTTGATGCACGGTACAAAAATCATGACAGATTGCATTTAGCGCATTTGGAAGTTAATTATTTGTCTTCTTGTTGCAGCCATGTTCTTGGGGCATATGCTAGTTTTCTATGGGAAATAGAGGATGACCAGGAAGAAGGTGACAAGGGAGATAGTATGAATGAACTTGAAAACACCAATTCCAAAGAAGAAACTAAAAAAGTTAGTCCATCCTCACACATTCCAGCAGCAAATGGGATTGACATGCTCGATACTGCCGCAGCTGGCTCCAGAAGAGGTGATAATGCTGAGGAGAATTACAAGATGATGATTGAAGAGAATCCCAACAATGCTTTGTTGCTAAGAAATTATGCTCAGTTCTTGTGTCAGGTGAGAGTTGCACATTTTGATCTCTATTTTCTCTATACATCTGACTTCTTTTTATTATAGAACACCTATCTTTTTATATAAATATATTAAGTTGGATTTCTAGTCACACTTGTGTAACTTATTGTGATTGCCTACAGTCCAAGGGAGACCTTCAAGGAGCAGAACAATACTATTTGCAGGCCATGCAAGCTGATCCTGGGGACAGTGAGATCATGGCGCAATATGCTAAACTGGTTTGGGAACTTCATCATGACAGTGAGAAGGCATTGTCTTACTTTGAGAGAGCAGCTCAAGCAAATCCTGAGGACAGGTACATACTCTTACATGATCTCAGAATTTCTACTTGAACATGTTCATGAATATTTTCTATATTATCTTCAATCTGGAACATAGACAATGATATGCAGGACCTTGAATTGGTTATTGAACTTTCTTACTTTGAACAAATCCTGCTTCCCAATCCTCTAGATCACCATTTGTTGGTCCGAATGATCGGAGATGTTTCAAAATATTTGACTAGTAGTAAAGATCTAATCATAGAAAAGATAATATAACTGATTAAAATGACCTCTTAAACATTTTTTTCCTTTGTGTTTAGCTATGTTCTTGCGGCATATGCTCATTTCCTCTGGGAAGCTGAAGATGAGGAAGATATGGTAATGCAAGGCCACATTCAAGTGCCTCTCGTACAAGGAGGAACCATGAGCGCTGTGAATGCCTGAATTCCTAACACAGCAGATTGCAGAACTACTAAATCAGGTTCTAATGCTGCATAGGGTCTGAAGCTGTACGTAGAGATACACCACCACTATCAAAGTTTTAAACTGAGAAACTTGGTGGCCTTAGAAGTTAGTTAAGTGAACATTTTCTAGAGAAAATGGTTGTACTTTTAATCTGTTATAGATGCCATGCCACCAGGTTTATGTTCTATATGTTTCTGCTACAATGTTTCTGATAAAAGCGGTAAACTTGTAATAAATAATTGTCGCTCGATAGTTCGGAATGGATCGTAATATGATCAGTTGCTCATTTCCTCATGCTTCATAATTTATGTCTGTAATTTGTCTTACTGATTTATCAATGGTACCAACTATCAAAATAAAACTGCCATACCATTTTTTTTCCTTTTTGCCAGAACTGCCATATTATACAGATTCATTATAAGAAATGCTGAAATGGGCTAAGATTAACTGCCATATTATACAGATTCATTATAAGAAATGCTGAAATGGGCTAAGATTTTTTATTTATTTTTGTATGATTTGTCTCCAAGGGGAAAATTTTATGTAATTTATTAAAGTGGTTTTATTGTATTTATTTCATTTATCCTCGTCTGCAAAGACTGCAATGAGACCTTGTGCCACTTCTACATGCCTTCATCACTGTTAAAACTCAAAAAGAAAATGATTGGCAGAAAATATTTAAGGGTCCTTAACATTCATCCTTGTTAAAACTTCGGGTATCGAATAAGAGCTTGCATTGATGCAAGCCATATGAAGTGAGAGGAAAAACAAAAGAACAAAACCAACTTAAAAGTAAACTAGTAAATATTGACGATTTCAATTTTCAACAATTCAATCTTCTAGAGACGACATTGTGAGTGATTTTGTTAATTTTACCTTTTTATTTTCCCTTTTCATTTCGTGTTCTTATGACAAATTTTTTTCCCTGGAAGTAATGAAAATAAAGCAGATAACCATCTTCATTTCACATTTAAATTGTTTGCTCCACAAATTGGAAGATGGTGAAAGCGAAAGTCTAACAGATTAGAAAGGTTAGGAGAGACCATGCAAAGATTTCGCAAAGAACAACTGAGGTCAAAATTGCAAACCCATCACCTCTTGAATTAAGAATTCCAGGATCAAGCAACCCCTTCTTATAAAATTATGATTCGCATGCCCAACATATCTAAGCTAAACTGCCTCTACGAAATACCAGTATGTAGTTTATGCAACCAATAAAGGTTATCTGCTGACCCAAAAATTTCCTTTCCTCATTGTAAAATAATCCTAATTAGTGAACTCTGATGAATTTTGACCGCCTCTTGATGATTGATAACCCGGGTTTGCTCTTTCTTGTCGGGGACTTGGGCGATAGTAGCCATTTCCCCTTGGTCGGCTGTAGTCCTGGTCACCTCCGTCATAGCCACCTCCCCTCCCAAAACCCCGAGAGACAAAACGACCCCTCGGTGCCTCTGCTTGGTAGCTGCCCCTTCCTCTACCCCTTCCTGTTCACAACAATTCATCAAAAGAAAATTACAACAAGAGCATATCTTTATGTAAAGCCTGGAACATAGAGAGAAGCATAGCAAGATTTGGCTTCCATAACAATTCAATCAGAAACAAAGCTCCAATATGTCTAATGCCAGTTGCAGCTACAATCTATCATACTAAGCAGTCATATTGACGAGGGTTTCTTTCATTAGATAACTAGCACAAGAAAGTGGATGAAACTAAGAATGTTGATAGTGGCCACATACTAAATATAGCAGCATAGATTGTAGGATGAAACAGTTATGAAGTAATTCTAAAATTGCTACGCAAAATAATCACAATATCACATGCAAGAACTATTGGAATACGGGAGTAGACAATTATCACGACACTAGTACGACAAAACAATAACAGATCCAACCGCTGTCGCCAAATATAGCTAGGGGCGGCTTGATCTTCCAACCAATCACAGTGAGCACACGTAGGAGGCCATTATGTTACCACTATGTAAATGGCCAGGCATTGTTAAATGTTGTAATTTTTTCACTAGAGAATTTATGACACTTATTTTACAAGTTAATAAGATCACAGAATATTACTAAAGGAAACATACTTCCCACTCGAGATGGGATGTTGCTGTTTGGTCTCCGCTCTTCAATGTACACTTGTCGTCCAGCAATCTCAACACTACCAGCCTATAGAAAATAGGACAAGAAAAAATCAATAAAAGATTCAGTAGGCAGATTTGTAGGAGGAAAGGAACTCAGAATTTGCCTCCATCTCCAATTTAAATTCAATTGGTATTGTAAGGGAAGTAATTAGAATTCAAATTTTGCAAACAGCACTCAAGCATTGATGTTTTCAAGAGTGGACCTTGACGGCATTCTGAACACCAGTAATATCTTCAAATTCAACAAACGCATAGCAAACACCAACATCCTGCACAACAATGAAATATTTTAGCTTAATAATTTCAGACTGATATACAATGACACATCTGGAGTGGGACCTGAGGGAACAAAAGAATAAGAAAGAAGAGCATGAACCTTGCGACTCCTAATGACCACTCCTTCAGGCTGCTTGAGTTTTCCAAAATTCACAAATTCCTCCTCAACTTCAGATGGAGATACAGTAGGCGGCAAGTTTCTTACATAAACAGACTTTATTTCGCCTAAAAGCATTCACCAAAAATAAGAAGATTATTAAATAAAACTGTTGAAGTCCATATCAAACCGCCCATATGTTGATTTAGAGGAAAAAAGTGAACAAAACCGAGTAAAAAAAGAAAAAACTTATGAGCAAAACTTAATGGGTTACAAATGAAAGCCCAAAAGCCCACCTTCATCCTCTAGAGTTGCTGCCTCATCTGCTGTCTCTGCAACAGGCCTTTCATATGTATTTGATGATGAAATGGGCTGCTGAGCAGAGGACTGAGGATGGTGATTCCACTCTGAAGCCGGTAGTGCATTCCTGTTAGCTGAATGCTGGGGAGCTACAGAAGGCGCAGGTTGTCCTTTAGCAACACGTAACTTCCAAAAAGAACCAAGCAGACAAAATTGGTCACATATAATGAGCATAAGATTTTATGTATCCATAAGTATGTGTTTCTGTGAACATAATTAGTTAGTCACAGGTTCAGTGCGTACTATAGAAGCATAGGTCTGCTTTTGGGGCTCTCCAATAGGTTCCTCCACAGATGCAGACAGGTGATCTTGTACAGCATTCACTGTACTATGAAGTGAACCATTTGACTGTTCTACAACACTATCATCCAACAAATTCTCAGTTTCAACAACTTGCTGCAACCGTTGCTCTGCAAAACCATAACTTTCAACTGGACCATTTTCTTTGACAGCAGGAGCCGCGAAGTCTCTTGTCTGAATTTCTCCACCCAGCAAATAGCTAGCCACTGCAAAATCACCAGTTTCATCAATTCAACTACTAAAGAAAAAAACCTTTTTTATACGTTGAAATGAAACTTATCTAACTACCAAATCAAATCAAGTTACTAAGAACTTCACAAAAGGCATTTTTAGCCACAACAATTTAAACCTATTATTAAAATTGACATTGAATGCATTTTCTTATCAGATTGTAATCATGCATAAACATGGTTTCAAATCAAGTTAACATCACTATTCAACAATTGCACAAAAAGTAGAAACCAATAAACAACAAAATTGCCATTGCTAATTATGGAATTTGTTTTGTCGTCATACATAAAATTCTTTCTTTTCAAGGAATAGATTCTTGTACATAAATGCAAATATATATCCTTTCTACACTTTTCTAGTAAATAATCATATCTTTTATCCACCACTAAAATAACAGACTTGATAATGCCTACTGAAAATGGAATTCTTCAAATCAACGTAAATTATGATGCATTACAATACCTGGCTCAGTGATCGTAGTAGGAGCACTTAGCTTGGCGTCAAGATTGCTCTGGGCTAATATGACCGATGGATGGTGATGCATTAGTTCCTCATCAATGAAGTGAAATATATCATTAAGTACAAAATAACCTTTTTCCTGAGGTGCAAGGAAAAAAGTTTGAACAAATTTCTTCCTTCCAGTGAAATCTTGTGTTTGCAGGGAGCCTGAAACCATCACAAGAACACCTCCATTCCAAGATTCCAAAGAATGGGCTGTGTTGATTTCATATCCAGTATAATTGAGCGACATAACAAGCGCATGGATTTGCTGTTGCATACACACAAAGAAAGGATTAACTTGAGTATTCAACAGAGGGGTACACCAAATGGGCTACACCTTATACACAAAGAACAAGTAGCATACAACAGCATATATAAACTATGCTGACATGTGGCATCAAATTAATTGCTTCTAACTTAGGCAATGATGACTGAACATTCCAAGCAATAATTGGGTCAATGTGACTGTGAGTGCTAAGAGTGTGCGAAACGTGACAATGTACATCAGGTTAAAATAAATATATTCATAGTTATAAAACCAAAACCAGTTGTATTAAGAAAAAGGCCATGGGTCATTGCTCCAACAGCAGGTCAATCAATAAAACTGCAAATGTGCAAGACAAGTTAAAATAGTATTTAATATTTTTGTCATTTAGAACAATTCATACTGTTTTTCTTATGAGAAGAAAAAAGAAAAGAAAGCAAATATATATATATTGGCTGGACTCTGATCACAGACGGGTTTCTTGCTGATTGAGTCCTTTGAATGAACCTAAGAGAATCCAGGTTGGAGCAACCCAGATACTGGTTCAACTGACTGGGACAGGCTGTGATTATAACTATATCAATGTGGGAGATTCATGTTTTGTATCGCTTAAATTCAATTCTTATCGATAACTTTCTAGCAGTAATTGTCCATCAATATATGATGGGCATGCACTACAAAAAACAGCAGATTTATAAAAGCATTCCATGGCTTGTTCTTAATGATATTAGTAGTATGTTTCCTACAAAATTGAACATAAAAATTCATGGCCAAAAAGAAAGAATTTGGAACCCAGCAGTATACTATGAACTGCAACAAGGGGGGCTTCAAGGATAGCCAGGTATCTTATATTCGCAATAGCACACATAGAGTTATTAACAAATTAAAACAAATATTTATGGTATACTAGACATGATTCCTAAACAAGTAACAAAATCAGAGAGATGCTATATTATGATCAAATGCAACCAATTATTAATCATCTTGGAACCATTGTTAAAACTGTAAATAACTCCAATTATCCAGTACCATCATATGATTGCTTGTTAGAAGTACCGCTTCCTCATTTTCCTCATTAGGGATAACACCTAATGAGAGTAAGGACCGCTTGCCTCAAATGGTTGCCATGTACAACAGAGGTCCATGAATTTACAAGTCAGAGGAGAGTGAATTGATCAAATTAATGAAAACAGAAAATTGACAGTTTTTTGTACAAAAATCAGGGATCTAAAAGAGATTATGGCCTTTATATATGGCTGAATGACAAGATGGAATCCATATTCAACCTACTAAGTTCGGATAATGGTTTAAACCAGTTAAACCTGTACCTAATAGCATACTTGACCTTATGTCGGAAAAAGAAAACAAAAATGTGAAGGCTAATGCAGCCAATATCCCTATACCAAATAAGCATACTCCTTTTTTTCAATTTCGCTGATCCACAAATAAGGGGTAACAAAGAAAATAAAAGAAAATGAGGCCTCCAACATGCAATACAATGAGGTAAATATTTCAAGCATGAAAAGAAAATACAAACACTTCTCACAGCTAGATGCACAAAGATCCCTTTTTGCAACCAGTAAAATCAGCTAATATACACTGATAACAAGTGTATATACGCAGAGAAACTAAATAAATTATTCACCGACCCAGTACATATAGGAACCTAAAAAAATAAATAAACAAAAACCCATAAACCCATCAAACAGGTTACTTGAAAGTTGAAATACACAACCATACAGCTTTATTCACCCATATCAACTCATATTTATTTGTCAGAAATAGTTGAAAACGTTTGAAGGAACTTAATCATAAAACTAACGAAGAAAAAAAGACGAATAATACCAGCATTGCAGTGGCGGTCTCTCTGGTGTTGCCGTCAATACGAAGCATAGTGCTGGCGTCAGAGTAGAACTGATGAACAAGGTCTGGCTGTTGCTGAAGCACTTGGTAGTACTGCCCCACAAAGTACGTCCCAACCTAAACCACACAAACACAACGAAGATTTCACTCTCAGCGCTAGAGAGAGAGAGAGAGAGAGAGAGAGAGAGAGAGAGAGAGAGAGAGAGAACCTGAGCAGCAGTGACGGGAATGGCAAAGGGCGTGGCCATATTCGAAACCTCTAAAACCCTAAAACAGCAAAATCAAAAACCCTAGATCTGCAAACGCCCCCTCAAATCTGCACCAAAACCCAAAAGATAAGATTAAGCACAATGCCAAATAAATACAGACATTTACACATGTAGACAAAGAGAGAGAAGGGGGGGATCTGAGAAATGGTGGAGGCTTTAGTCTTAGAGAGAGAAAACGTATATGGAGACAGATAGAGAGAGAGAAGGAGACCTTGAGATAGATTTGGGGGAGAGGATCGGTCTTCTTCACTCAGTGGGTTTAGTTTTTGCTGCTTGCGGCTTTTGTTGGTAGCCGTCACCACAGAAATTGGTGACACTCTACTCCACGCGGCGCACTTTAACATGGAATTGCATCACTAAAGGACCTTTTCCCCTTCGTCACTCCTTGCTAATTTGCGCTTGTGATATTGGGTTGCAATCTTTTTCTTCCCTTTTTTATATGGAAGTTTTCCTTTTTTGAAAAGGAAAATATTCTTTGCAAAGGTGCTACAAAAACTAAAAGTTTGAATTGAATTGGGTGAAATAATATGTGCTTACCAATTGTTCTCATGATTATCTAAAAGCATGGTGAAGATAGGAACCAACATAATTAGTAAGATCATGCAAAAAGGTAAGAGACAATTAGCAAGCAATCTCATAAACATTCGTCCTAACTGCTATTATAACACACATCATGGAAATGTTTGTCTACTAATAGTCTAATATGTTATGGTGACCTATTGTCAATCTAAATCATATAATGCCTTGAATTGTTATTTTATATGACAAGACAGTCTGACACATTATAATATCACATTGTCAATTCAAATCATTAATCAAGTGAATTCTTATTTGAATGAATTAATTATATTGGCAATTTAGCGACATTATATTTCATATATCTAAGTAAGACCATGTGTAAATGCTATGGTCATATACTTGTACGTTACTCTTCTATTGATATATACTATCGTTCTATACTTGTTATGTTGTTAAGCTGCCAATACTCATGTTAATATATTCTATTGCCATAGACACACTCGATAAGGTCATTATCGGACAATCTTCCATGCTATGATGCCACATTGTTAGTCCTAATCATTAATCAGGTGGATTATTAATTTTATGTATCAATCATGTTTGACAGTTTAGTGTGACATGGTATGCCATATAGCAAGTAAGAGAACATTACTCTGAAACATGTATATTCTTTAATCAGATACTTAGGGTTGTTGTGGTTGAAAATTTAGAAGTTTGGGAATTGGTATGAAATTGTATCTTCATGTTTGGTAAGTGCACTCTTAGAAATGCAATTCCTAGCTCATGGTTATAAACTTCCCATGTAAGGGAGAATTTCATACCATTGGCTCTCCTTGGGAATCTTTTTCTTCCCACTTGGGAAAGCATTTAATCCACTTTTTTTGGGAACTAAATTACCCATATTCTAATTTTAAAATAAAATATCAATATTTATTTTTAAAAAATTACATTTAAAAAAATAAAGGGTATTAATTGGAAAACTCAACAACTTTCCATTCCTAATATTGCACAAATCAAACATAAGAATGAGAGAAAGTGACATTTCTTGGTCCTCATTTTATAGTGTTTCCAAATATGGGAATGAACATGTTCCATTCCCATCTCGTTGGATTAGACATGGGAGTTTCATTCACAAAAAGTTAATTCCGCGGACCAAACGAGCTCTTAGTACTAAACTATCAAGAAGTTCATTCCATGGAGTGTTATATTATTGTCAATTCGGATTATTTATAATCTAGGTGGTTGTTTAAATTTGTGATCCAAATAGATAACCTAGCCACGTAACTTGCTAATTAATTGATATATTTAACCGTGGGCAATAGATTCCGTGGAGTTTTAAGGAGGCGCTCCTCCTCCTCATTTTTAAGGAGCCAACCAATACTCTACTTGGACTACCGTGGGCAACCAAAATGATCAAACAGCTATACACGTTTAAAAATGATCAAATTTGATAGTTTTTGCAATGCATTTTAACAAATGCCATTGACTTGATGAACACAAAAACTTCTTTGTATTAATTTAGCAGATCGATTAGGCAGCAAAATCACCATTACAATTGCCAAAAACAGTCATATCCACCAGGAATTTCCGGAAGAGTCGTGGGATGAAAAAAGAAAAAAGAAAAAAGAGAGTTACAAAAAGCAACAAGAAATGAAAGGGGAGCTCCAGTCAAGTCACTTGTGTGAGTACCTGAGCTAACATTTCCAATTAACCCTTTTTCCAAATTTACACACTGTTAATGCTTATGAACGTTTCCCTTCAGCCAAGCTTACACGCAGTGCTCTTCCTTCTAGTTCCTGAGAAGCCAAGAAAACAAAACAAGGTATAGTCAGTTGCCTACCCAGTACATAGAAAATGCCGGCCTCAACAAGCCATTCTTTCTTACAAGCAAACTACAATTTGAAACATGTCCACTCATTCTTCCTTTTCTTTTTCTACTGGTGGAATTATTGTAGAGGTGGATGAGACTCATAGTACCGCTCCATCGAGAGATTCTAAGGCAGTGTCCATCTCTGACTTCGTTGAGTAGCATACAAATCCATAGCCACGGGACCTTCCTGTCTCCCCGTCATATAGCACCCTGGCTCCAACCACATTTCCATATTCTTGAAAAGCTTTCGTCAAGCTTTCAGATGTGACTGACCAGGATAAATTCCCTACGAAAAGCTTGAACTCAGTTTCAGGATATAGAGGTACTTTCGGTCTTGGCTTGTCCGCTAAGTTCACCCTCAAGGTTCGCCCCATGAATTCCTGAAATATCAGAATGCTTTTAGCATTAAGATTTGAGTAACGATACATGTACCACATTTGCTGACATCTCTCATAGATATATAATTCACGGCGTTACAAGTGAGATGCATTTTCTATTGCCAAGAAAGTTGTAACGAGTAAATGTGACACAAATAGTTTTATCAATAGGGTTTTAAGTGAAAGGCTCTTATGTAAGCATGAGAGAGAGAGAGAGACTCTTACACGTCCATCAAGATTTTCAATGACAGCATTACAATCTTCAACAGTGCTCATTGTAACGAATGCGAATCCTCTGCTTCTTCCAGTGTCCCTATGATAGAGAACCTTTGATGAAAGGCGTCATCAGTAACAAATAGCAGAATTCAAACTTTCCCCAAAAGAAGGGAAAAACTTTGTCTGGTTACAGTATCTGGTTAATCCATACAACTTTTACAAATATATGTTCCATTTACAGTTCTCAGAGGCACATCATTAAGTGATGAGAAAGTAGTAGATGAACAAAGTTCATTGAGAGGTAAATGTCTAAAGTTAGTGGTTCAGTTTTTAATATCCCCAAAACCTAATCACCACCTAAATGTTTAAGTCCTTTTTTAGTTGTCTGCTACATAACTATAAATCAATTGAAAATTATGGAATAGGTTCTTCAATTAGATCATATAATTGCTGACATTAAATGTGAGAGGATGAAGGGAAGTAGAAGCTAGGACTAGGATTTGGGAAAAGCACTTTCCCCATTTTGATGACATGTCACATAAAAAGCTTAAACTCTAAGGGCAGTGTTGTCTCGTTAAATATTTACATGTTATGTTGTTAGATTATCAATGTGGAGAATTCACTTAAATAATCTAAATTGACAATATGGTATTAGCTAGGGTGCATCTTTAGTTCAAAATCCTATTTTACAGTAACCCGATCTAATAAATTGTGACTAATTCATATTCTAATAGAGAATGATGAACCCGTCAATCTAACAGCTAAAAGTGTTTGATCAGACAATAAATTAATAACAATACCACATCACCTACTAAACAAACTAATTAATCACAAGGAAATTAATCCTCACCTCAATCAACTCTGGACTTCCATAGTCCTGAATTATCCCAGCAAGCTGTGCACTGTCAACGCTATAAGGAAGGTTCCCAAAGTAAAGCTTTGTGTTCACAGCAACAGCCTCCTCACCCTCATCTCCTCCACCTGAAACTTCAGCTGCCGCTTCTCCTCCCAACTCTTCATCACCTGTGAACACCACCTGCTCCTCTGCTTTCTTTTCTTCCTGCTGCTCCTCCTCAGCCAATGAGGCAACTTGCTCAATCTCATCAGTCACCGCCACCTCTTCTTGAGCCACGGCAGTACTTACCCTCAGCACCCGAAACTTGTTCGAACCGGCATTGATCGAAAGTAGGGGTTCTATGGCACAAGGGTTTGATAGAGATGATGATGAAAGCATCCGGGTAGGGGCCATTTTAAGGTGGAGATGATCAAGTGGGGACATTTGATTGGATGATCGTAGGCATTTGACGGTGTAGATGGAGGGTGAGAAAGATGAGCTCATGGCTGCAGCTGCAGAAGCAGCCATGGTGGCAGAGATGGGGTTGTGGGGTTGTGAGTGAGGCAGAGGAGGTGGTGGTTATGGTAGTTTTTACAGTTAAAAAGGGGTGTGATCGATGATGAGGTACGGGGTAAGAGGAAGAGAGAGTGATGGTGTAGGCTATATCTTGGCTGATGTGGGCAGATTGTGGCCAGTGAGAGTAGAAGAGATATATTGGGGGGATAAGGTATGCCCATGTCAAATCTCCAATCTCCAATCTAGTTCTGCCCAAATAAAAATTCTAAAAGAAGAAAAAAGTTCAATTTGGATCAAACATCGGAGCTCTAATTTACCATTTTATTGGGACCATGGGGGGCAGCTTTTGGTTGATTGGTTTGGTCCATACTCCATAATATTTTTTTTTTTTTTCAAAGAACAAGTATAATTTCATTAATAAATAGGTAAATACAAGAGATGTACAAGAAGAACACACCCGAAATGAAGGTTCTTGCATAAAATAAATCGGAAAAAATAAATCCAGAAAGATAATGAGTAATAACTATTACAAATTCAGGCCCATACTCCATAGTCCATACTTAGAAATGCATTTCCTATTTTCATTTTCTACATGGTTCTTTCTCCTATTTGATATGCATTAGTCACCTAAGAATGATAGGTATAAAATAAATAAATAAATAAATATTTTTGCGCTCCTAATAATTTAAATTCAGAATGTTTGATGTTGGGGGGATAGATTTTATAGATATTTATAAAAATACCTAATCCTAGACATGTATTTATAAAAATACCCAAACACTATTTAAACATAGAAACATACCCAAAATGGGTTTTGGGTATGTGTGTAATGATGGATTTTGGGTATATTTATAAATGGGTTTTGAGTGTGTGTAATGATGAGTTTTGGGTATGTTTATAAAGTGTTTTGGGTGTTGGGTATTTTTATAATTTCAGCCTCCATTTTGGGTATTTTAGTGAAACTCCCTGGATTTTATGGACAATAAGAAACATATGTGTGAAGATGAATATACTCCTGGGTTGATACTTGATATGCCGATGCCGATCACGTATTGATTGGTTCAAAATCAAAATGTTTGGGCCTATGCAGGCTAGTCACATTTTGGGCATAAGATTATACTCCATAGTCCATACTTAGAAAAGTGGCAACATTTACATAGAAGATGAATTATTTATTTATTTATTTATTTATTTTAACGGTCAAGGGCAAAGCCCAAGTTACAACGGGTCAAGTAACCGCTGCATTTTTGCTTATTTTTTTTTTTTTTGGTTACATTGGAGGAAAGAAACCCCACTGGGGTTCGATCCTGGGTGCCATGGGGGGAAGGGGGAATCCACCACCACTGTGGTGGGAACCCATTGGCATTTTTGCTTATTTCCGATCCCGCTTAGTTCGTCACAGTTAAACTAATGGAGTATGCTCACTCGAAACCTCTCTCTACGACTCACCAGATCACTCTGCACGGCGACCGCAAAACCATTTATACAAAACCAAACTGCAACTCCACACACCAATCTAAAGCCCCTCAACTCCAAAATCTCAGCTTTCATGAGGGATGGCTTTGTGGAAGAAGCCCAGAAGCTGTTCGACAAAATGCCTCGAAGAAACACCGTCACGTGGAATTCCATGATTCGCGGCTACTTTCTAAATGGGCAGTTCCAAGATGCGATTAATTTATTTAGTCGGATGACTGAGCGTGATGTTTTCTCGTATAACACCATGATTACCGGGTTGATGCAATGTGGGGATGTGGATGGTGCAAGGCAAGTCTTTGACAGGATGATTTATAGAGATGTTGTCACTTGGAATTCAATGGTTTCTGGGTATATTCGTAATGGGATGATTGGTGAAGCGGTACAAGTGTTTGATGGGATGCCATTGAAGGATGTGATTTCATGGAACTTGGTGGTTGGGGGCCTTGTGAATTCTGGAGAGTTTGATTTGGCTGAAAAGTATTTTAAGCGAATGACTATTCGAGATTTGGCCTCTTGGACTATAATGATTTCGGGGTTTTCTAGTGCAGGACGTGTTGTTGAAGCCCGAGAACTCTTTGATGGCATGCTTGTAAGAGATGTGCAGGCTTGGAATGCTATGATCCTTGGGTATATAGAAAACGGGTATGTTGCAATTGCCGAGGGCTTGTTCCAGAAAATGCCCGAGCGGGATTTGGAATCTTGGACTCTAATGGTGAATGGGTTGGTCAAGGTTCAAAGAATTAATGATGCCTTGGAGCTTTTCATGGAGATGCCAGAGAAATGTCCAAAAACCTGGAACTCGATTATTTTTAAATTAGTAAGAAATGGGCTCACTAGAGAAGCTCATGCTTTTATTGAGAAAAACCCTTACAAAGATGTTGTATCATGGACAAATATGATTGTTGGGTATTTGGGAATTGGAGAGGTTGGCAGTGCAATTGAACTCTTTGAATCAATGCCAACTCGAGATACAGCTGCATGGAATGCCACAATATTTGGATTAAGTGAAAATGATCTTGGTGAAGAAGGTTTGAAGCTTTTCATTAGAATGAAAGAATCAGGGCCATCCCCAGACAAAAATACGTTTACTAGTGTTTTGACAATCTGTTCAGACTTACCAACCTTACACCTTGGTAGGCAAACTCATGCACTCACAGTAAAAGCGGGATTTGATCACTTCGTAGCAGTGTCCAATGCTATGGTTACCATGTACTCAAGATGTGGGAATATGGATTTTGCTTTATTGGAATTCTCTTGCATGAAAAGTCGTGATGTCATTTCTTGGAATTCTATAATCTGCGGATTTGCTCACCATGGGAATGGTGAAGTAGCTTTGGAGATGTTCGAACAAATGAGATCAACAGATGTTCAACCCAATCACATAACTTTTGTTGGTGTTCTGTCTGCTTGTAGCCATGCGGGGTTGGTGGACCAAGGCAGATACTACTTCCATATGATGAGATGCAAGTATTTCATTGAACCTACAACTGAGCATTATACATGTGTTGTTGATTTGTTGGGGAGATTTGGACTTATAGATGAGGCAATGAGTTTTTTAGATCAAATGAGAGCAGATGGATTTGAAATTCCTGCAAGTGTCTGGGGGGCATTACTTGGAGCCTGTAGAATCCACAAGAATGTTGAGGTGGGTGAGATTGCAGGGGAGAAGGTTTTGGACATAGAGCCCGGTAATTCTGGTATATATTTGATTTTGGCAGAAATGTATTTAAGTATTGGAAGAAAAGAAGATGCGGGCAGGATTTGGACAAGAATGAAAGAGAAAGGAGTCAAGAAGCAACCTGGGTGCAGTTGGATTGAAGTTAACAACATTGGGCATGTATTTCTTTCAGGGGACAAATCCCACCCCAACTTTTGTAGGATCTATTCTGTATTAGAGTTACTGCATACAGAGATTGAGGCTGAAATTGCAAAATCAAATGCTGCATCATTTCAGCATGTAAAAGTTGCATAGGTTAGGGTATTATGGCTGAGATTTTGTTGCTCATGCTTTTATATACTTATTTCTGGGTTGAACAAGCGAAAGAAGATCTCAGTGTAATTTTCTAATCGGATAATGAGGACTAGGGAAAGTTGGATGGTCATCATTGTCCATATAATCATGCGATGAATGTTAAGTATCAGATGCGATTGTCTACGGTCAATTGTGTTCAAGGTTCTGAAAATTTTCCCAAGGCATATAAGGATGTTGAGGCAGATTTTTCAGATAACATTTGCGCACGGACTAGCAGCTGCAAGAAGTTGCCAACCTGCCATCTAAGGACAGTATAAGTACCAAGGAGTGGGAACAATTACCCATAATTCAACAGAGAAGGGGGATTTGCTTCCAGTCCTGTATAACTGCCTAAGAGTTGATTTATTGAACCGTCCATATTTAGAATTGATAATTTTACCACTCCATAAACTTCAAAGGGCATGAACTCTTTGTGCAATGTATTTGTGCTATGCTTAGTAGTAGTGCTTTCACAAGAAGCACAGAAACAAAACAGGTTGTAAACTTACAATTTTAGTAGGAGTAGTGTTTCCATTATAATTTGGTCACTAATATCAGAACAAATGTAAAAGAAAAGAAGGTGCATTAATAGAGAATAAACATATGCAAAATTTTCTTCATTATGTTAGAGACAATTACAAACAAAGCACATCATGTTCTGTTGCATTAAAAAAAGAAGAAAGAAGATCAACCTATATCTGTATAATTCACTAAAGTACAAGCACTGATCTGGAGGCTAGTACAAAAAATGCACAGATTATCTCAGAGCTTGGTCTACAACAAAAAAGCTAACTCTCCCCAAATATATAAACAAGTTTAAGTGGAGATTAACAAGATAAAAGACTGCCGTGGAAATTATTATATCAGCCTCGTTCTCTCTCTGATGATTTGCTCCAAGTTATTTTTCAAAGTCATCAACTCTTCCAAATCATTACAAGCTTCAATGTTGATGTCCGACAAAGCCTTCAATGTGTCTCTGAAAGAGCGAGAAGTAGTGGAGTCAACAGTTGCAATGGGCACGATTTGATCAGCAGTGGAGTCAACCGAAGGAGACCCAATAGCAGTGGACAGAAACTCGTCAATCACAGAGTCGTAGGAAGGTGAGGGAGCCGTGGTGGAAAGGAATTGATCCACCATAGAATCAACGGAAGTTGATCCAGCATTGGTGGTGGGGAGAAATTGGTCATCCACATAGTCAAATGAAGAAGAACCGTCAGTCACAGTGGAAGAGCCATCAATGGTTTCGGAGAGGAATTGGTCGACCACTGAGTCAAAGGAAGGAGAGGCATAAGTGTAACGGCGGCCCGCTGGAGAGATTACAAGAATTGCAACGGATGAGCCGGAGAGATTTGAGAAATCCTTGGCTTTTTTGAAGAGCCCATTCCTTCTCCTTGAGAAAGTCACAAGGCGAGACTGCTTGTTTTCAATCTTCTCTATTGAAATTTTCTTCTTTCCCATCTCGTTCCTCTCAAAAACTACACGGCACAAACTTAGCAAATGGCCTTTGAATCTACGGTGCAAATCATATTGAAGTTTTGAATTTTTCCTTAGGGTTTCATCAGAAGCCCAATTTCTGAAGAAGCCCAACTATTTAGAGATTTAAATGCCGAATTAAGCATTTAAAAAGCCCAACTAGGACTTTAACAAGTGGCCCAGCTAGGACTTTAGCAACTAATACAACTAGACCTGAGAAAGCACTTGGGGTGAAGATCTTTTTATAAAGTAAAAAAATTTGAAGCTTTTGTTTGGAGTCGATGTGGTACTGCTGCAACTTAAAAATAGTTGAGCACACACTGCATAGGCCCATCACTGTGAATAAACTGCATAGACAAATTTCAATGAATAGTACAATAAAAGAAAGTAAATGGTTAATGGCATTTGTCGGTTACCGGTTATCAAATTGAAATTTGCTCAAGATATCACGTGGAGCGCTCGTGGGTGCAAATTTGACATTCAAGTGTTATCGGACTCGAAACGTTTATCAGTTTATGGTAATTTCTCCAATCTATCAGAAAGAAACATCTTAAATATTTGGGGATTAGCCAAATATGACTACATCACCCCATTACTTTGAGGCGATCATTGGATATCAGACAATAGCTAATTATTAAGCGTCTGCCATGTGTTGTAAAATTGGCTCACATTTAGTATGCATGCGAAGGAGTGAGCGACCGGTCGCTAGGTTTGGGCGACCGGTCGTTTAGAAGCAGAGTCGAAGTCTGAAAAATTCGCAGGAAGCGACCGGTCGCAAGGTATCAGCGACCGGTCGCTATGTATCCAAATGGTCGTAGCGACCGGTCGCAAGGTATCAGCGACCGGTCGCCCCTGTGCTGTGCTGATGTTTTCTGGAGAAGAATGATGAAAGAAAGAGGTTTGAAGAAGGCACCTGGGTGCAGCTGGATAAGCATTAATTCAAAGACTCATTGTTTCTATGTTGCTGATAAAGCACATCCTTGTTCTAATTCGATCTATCAGATGCTTGACTACCTTATCTTAGTGATGAAGGGAGCCTGCTATTCTGATGATTTTGAACATCCAGCATAGATCCTTTTTATATTGGGTTGATGATATACTACCATTTAGTTATATAATGTAAATATTTGTTAGTTGCTTACACAACTTTGTAAATATTTGTTTGCTTACACAACTCTCTTATTGACTGTATTGTGGAGGACATTGTCGCATTGCTTAAAAGATTTGGAGCACACCAGTTCATGCTGCTTTTAGATATGCAGATGGGGCTGCTCATAGAGTATCACAATTATGCTCTACATAGAGGTGGCCCTGCGTTTGTTGGAAGATTTTTTTTTGTTTTCTGGGTACTGTGGAGGTTATCTTTAAAATAAAAAATATAAAAAATGGGGCAGCCAGCTACAATGATCATCACATCAGCTTAAGATAAGGTTTTCTTTTTCTTTTTCTTTTTCTTCAATTATACAACTTGCATTGGATGCTGTGGTAGTGTGGCGTGTGCTGTCAAAAAAGTTTACTACTTTTTGTTGGGTGGAATTGGACTTCATACATGGACAGAAAGAAATTGCTCTACTGATAAAGAGATTCTCATCAATCAATCTAAAAACTAGATCTGGTTTACTTGTTTTCGTTTTGGCCAAGATAGAGTAAGTAGTAGAGAGAATGGCTGAGGCAGTTGTTTCCTTTGTGCTCGAAAGTGTGAGAGACTTTACCATTCAGGAAGCCAAGTTCTTGACTGGAGTCAGCCATCAAGTTGAGGTTGCACAAAATGAGCTGCAACTGATGCGGGGATTCCTCAAAGATGCAGATGCAAGACAAGGACAAAATCAGTATGGGTTTGTGTTGAGAGGAGAATTGGTGCTTACAGCAAACAGCTTTTTATGGAAAGAGAAAGAGGGTGTGTAGTGGTAGGTGGTGGGTGGTGGGTGGTGGGAGAGGGAGTAGACCTCGAAGATCTCAAACTGAAGTCAAATACTTCAAATTATACGAGTATAGAAAATTATTATTCTCATCCACTGTCCTTCTAATAAATTTACGTTTACATAAAATCACTTTAAATTACGACTTCAAATTAATGTTTTTTAATAAATAAAGAAAAATTGATCCTTATGTCTAGCACACTACACATTATTTTTTTTGGTTTGAATTAAGTGCACACTACACATTATTGGTTACAGCTTCTTTTTTCTGATTGGAAAGGAATATACATATAAGACTTTGACTTGTTGAATGAGCAGAGCAGGTACTCTATCTATCGAAAGCAAAGGTACGTACGATCGGTTGACTTGACTATTCATCTCTGAATATATTCACCTCCTCCTTCGCACGTGACTCAAGTAACTGCAGCAAGTAGCTAGCTGTGTCTTCTTTTTAACCTTGAAAGGAGAGAGTTTTGATGATGAATTGGTAAGTAGTGAATGAAACTCAGTATGTTATATAGAAGGATTGATATAAATGAATACTTGGAGTGTATATATTGAACACCTGCTGAGGTCAACTTTGGGAGTTCCTTCCATGCAAACTACTAATTAAAGACTAGAGACCGGACTTTTTTAACCCATGTATAAGGTGGCCTCGCTAGATGCATATACATCACACACTTGATCTGAACTGAAAACTCAAACATAAATTTGCTTTTATGTATTGCAAAAAAAAAAAATACCCGTGCATGGCCACCAAACCTCTGCCCCTGTCCACAATGTCCAGATTGAAGACCAAGTAGATTATCAAACAATGTTTGATTAGTTTTATACTTTCTTAATTACATTTTAAAACATTTCTCTTCTATTTTACTCTATATTATGTTATAACAAAAAATTTCTCTTCATTACATTTTTTTTTTGTAATTTCATTTAATTATAAATTAAAAAAAAACAAAAAATTATATCCCAAAAACAAAAAAAAAATAATAATTTAATTATTAATTTTGCGCGACGACTATTATTTTCGTCGCGCAAAATCATTTAAAGGAAAATACAAACCCGTATAACTAAATTATAAAATAATATATTTTACGTTTGCGCGACGAAATATTTCGTCCCATTATGGAAATGCGACAAGTACAATTTCGTTGCTTAGTATTTGCGTGACGAAGATACATCGTCGCTTTGTGTTTCTGCGACAACAACTTATGTTGTCGCGCAAATTGTTTGCGCGACGATATAAGTGCCGTCCTGAAATGTTTGTGCGACGCAGAGAAATCGTCGCACTACGTTGGTGCGACGTGTAATGATTCGTCGCGCAATGGGTTGAGCGACAAAAGAAAGACTGTCCCTGAACCGTTGGTGCAACGAAGTTCTCTGCGCGACGAATGTACATAAGGTGTGTCGCGCAAAGTCTTTCTTTACAATCTTTGCGCGACTAATTTTGTGCGACGCTATTTCTGTCGCGCTGTTATTTGTGAGACTGCTTTGTTCTTTGCGCGACTAATTAGTATTCGTTGCGCAAACTGTAAAATGTGGTAGTGAACTATGACTTTAAAAGCCATTCAACTAAGACTCCTAACCTGATGCAAACAAGGTCTCTTCATGAGACGCCTAATAGATGACAACAATACTATCCAATTATGAATATAAATTCTGATTCAATAAGGACTCATAGTGACGACACCAAACAACCACTATTATTGAGAAATAATTATCTCCTAAAACAAGTTAACTAGGAGATAAGCATGGTGCACGTCACGATAGTAAACACTAATATTTTAACTTAAATCACCATGGCATAAAAAATAGCTTTAATCCTATTTTGAATGCATGATTATGTCATGATTTATCTGTTATCAAGTTTCTCATATGGTCAGGTCATATCTCGGAAGTATGGGGTTGAGAGAGTTGTGCCAAAACGTCCAGTAACAATACCTAACAAATTAATTTTCCACCTGTGCTAAAGTTAAGGAAATGACAATCCAATTTTCATACTAACAAATTGTTAAAGAGAAAGTGATTAAATTATACAACTTGCACCAATTATGGAAGAATAATTTATTTGAAGATTCCTGAAGTTGTCTGGTGTGTGCGAAACAAGTGGTTGCACAAATATATATAATTGATGAGGAAGGTGGTCAGCAAACGCCAATGTTGACTATTATTATTTTTATTTTATTTTAGAGATGTTGGGACGATTATTTATTAGTTTACCGGACATAGACAGATAGAAATTGCCAAATCAATCTAAAACTAATTCTGGTACACCTACTACAGCTTGCATTACATTATATTGTGGTCAGAAAACGACAAAGTTGATGAGTTCTTGTTGGGTTCAAATTGAACCAATTGGCTGTAAATTAGATCAAACTGCAAATTAGATCTGGAGGTTTAGTTGTTGTTTTCGTTTTGGAGAAGAAAGAGTAAGTAGTAGAGAGAATGGCTGAGGCAGTTGTTTCCTTTGTGCTCGAAAGTGTCAGAGACTTCACCATTCAGGAAGCCAAGTTCTTGACTGGAGTCAGCCATCAAGTTGAGGTTGCACAAAATGAGCTGCAATTGATGCAGGGCTTCCTTAAAGATGCAGATGCAAGACAAGGACAAGATGAAACAGTCCGTATTTGGGTTGCCAAGATTAGAGATGCTGCTTATGATTTAGAGGATGTCATCCAAACTTACGGCTTGAAAGTGGTTTCCAAGAAGAAAAGAGGCCTCAAGAATGTTCTCAAAAGATTTGCCTGCATCTTCAAGGAAGGGGTTCATCTTCACCAGATTGGGGCAGAAATTGAGAATATCACTGCCAAAATTTCGACGTTGAGATCGAGTTTGCAGAGTTATAACATAAAGGAAATAAGGGACAGGGACAGCGGTGGTGGTGAATCTTCCTTGCAATTGCATGAGAGGCAAGGACTACTCAGGCGAAGTTATTCTCATGTTGTTGAAACAGGGACAGCGGTGGTGGTGAATCTTCCTTGCAATTGCATGAGAGGCTAAGGAGAAGTTATTCTCATGTTGTTGAAAGTGATGTTGTTGGGTTAGAGTCCAACGTTAAAGAATTGGTTATGCATTTGGTGAAAGATGAAAACCGTCATCAAGTTGTATCTGTTTGGGGTATGGGCGGTTTAGGGAAGACCACCCTTGCAAAAAAGGTTTATCATCACAAAAAAGTAAGGCATCACTTTCGTAGTTTTGCTTGGGTCTGTGTATCTCAACGGTGTCAAGTAAGAAATGTTTGGGAAGGAATTCTGTTTAAACTGATTTCTGCTACCAAGGAACAAAAACAAGAAATTAAGGAAATGACTTATGATGAAATAGCAAAGAAGCTTTTTGGTGTCATGGAAGAAATGAGATGTTTGGTGATCCTTGATGACATTTGGAGTATCGAGACATGGAATCTTTTGAAGGTTGCATTTCCAAATGTGAAAACAGAGAGCACAATACTGCTTACTACACGCAATCAAGCAGTAGCTTCGCTCCCAAATAGAAATGTTTTTCTCCACAAACTCCAGCCACTCAATGAGAATGAGAGTTGGGAACTATTTGAGAAGAAAGCAATACCTGCAAGGGCTGAAATCGGTATTTTCTCACCTTTCATCTTTTCTTTTCCAGTTCCTTAGTTAAATAGCGAGCCACATAGAGACCATTATATTATGTAGTGTTTTTTCAGTCATTGTTGGGATTACCCTTTACAATTTTTGAATACTGTCCAACATTTGTTAGGTAGCAAGATGTAGCAATTGCATAAGATGGTAATTTATCTTATGCAATTGCAAATTATAATCAGGATAATTTTAGCTAATTCAAAATTTTCTCCCAGCCTCCTCTTCAATCCAACAATATCCCATACGTTTTACGTGTTGGTGCAGATTTAATTTTTAAATGTTTTCCATTTGGCATATATTATAAAATCCAAACTTATAATAAGATAAACAGTATGAGTAAATTTCAGGATTTCACAATTTTAATTTTAAATCATTTGAGCAAGGAATATCCACTACGATTGCTCATACTACAAGTCCGTATTTAATTTTTTTTTTCTTTCCTATTTTTCAGACTTGGGAATGTACATAGACTTAGGAAGGAATATGCTTCAATATTGTAAAGGTTTGCCATTAGCCATCATTGTGCTTGCTGGAGTTCTAGCCAGAAAAAACTCCATTAGAGAATGGGAGAGAGTGTATGAGAATGTTCATGAATACATAAGCAGAGGCATAGGTCATGAAGAAGAAAATGGAGGTGTATCACAAGTGTTGGCATTGAGTTATGATGACCTACCGTATTACTTAAAACCATGTTTTTTATATTTAGGTCATTATCCTGAAGACTTTGAGTTTTTGGTGAGCGAATTGACTAAATTATGGGTGGCAGAAGGTCTTATCTCCTTGAGACAACAAAGACATGGTTTTAGGGAAACAATGGAGGATATAGCACGTGATTGCTTAAGTGAGTTGGTGGAAAGGTGTTTGGTTCAAGTGGGAATAAGTGGTTCAACTGGGACAATTAAAGGTTGTCGAATCCATGACCTTGTACGAGACATGTGTTTGTTAAAGGCAAAAGAGGAAAGCTTTCTCCAGATTAACAATTCTTTGCAAGAAAATACTTCTTTTGTGGCAGCTGAGGCAGCACAATTGGGGAAAATTCGAAGACTTGCAATTTACGTGGATGAGAAGGCAAATAGGTTGGTTTCTTCAAGAGATGAAACAAATGGGCACGTAAGGTCTCTATTATTCTTTGGCCTAGAAGAATGGATGCCAAAAAGTGAAAAAGGATTACTATCTCCGTTGAAGGATTTCAAAGTGCTTAGAGTTTTGAAGGTTGAACGTCTTTATCAAGTAGAAGTAGAGTTGCCAAGTGAAATTGGAAATATGGTACACTTAAGGTTTCTAAGTGTGAGGGGGAGTGATATAAAAACGTTTCCGCCATCCCTAGGTAATTTAGTATGCTTGCAAACTCTTGATTTTCGTGTTCCACGTCATATCGACATGGTCATCCCAAATTTAAATGTGATAATGAAGATGAAACAATTAAGACATTTATATTTACCCTGGGAGTACAGAGTAAAGGGTAAGCTGGAGCTGTCTACTCTTGGCCATCTACAGACCTTATATAACCTTTCAAGTGAGTATTGTGATTTGAAAGATGTTGGTAGATTAACCAATCTTAGAAAACTGAAAATAATTCTGTCAAGCTCTTTGCAAAATCTGGAGGAAATCTTAAAATCTACAGGCAACACGCTTAACCGTATCCGGTGTCTAATTGTAGATAACAGAATGAATAGCGGTGAAGAGCAAGTTATGCAAATAGTATCAAGCTGTCGGGGTATATACAAATTGACGTTGGAAGGGCCAATTGCAGAATTACCGAAAGAGCCCCACAACTATCCAAACCTCACCAAGTTAGTATTGTGGAGTTGTGGTCTCAAGGAGGACCAAATGGGAATACTAGAGAAGCTGCCAAACCTAACAATTTTGAAGCTTATATTAGAAGCTTTCGAGGAGAATACAAAGATATTGGTTTTCTCCGAAGGAGGCTTTCCTTCTCTTAAATTTCTTTACGTTGGTGGTATGCACAGAATAACAGAGTGGAGAGTAGAGGATGGAGCCATGCCTCGTCTCTGTCGATTGGAAATCCAAAATTGCTTGGGATTGAAGACGCTTCCAGATGGGCTGAGATATCTTACTAAACTCAGGGAATTAACCATCAGAATAATGCCTAGAGAACTCCACCGTCGGATTGAGGAAGATGGAGAGGATTTCTATAAAATTCAACATGTACCTTCCCTTGTAATTGGAGAACCAGACGACTTCTAACCACCACCGATGCAATGATGTCAAGGTAATTTCTTTCTTTTAATTTTTTAATTTTAAAGAGAAATGGGTGCATTTTAAAGTGAAAATGGGTGGTTTGGTTTGTGTTTATTAGTTATAAAATGAAGCAGCGAGAGAATATTAAAGTAGAAAACCCAACAGGTTAAATTTCCTTATTTTGAAACCAAATATCTTATAATAATATTTGATTTGTTTTCTTGTCCATTTTTGTTTGTGAGTCCTGACTCTGAGCCTTATCATTTCCCAATTTCCAAAAATATTTTATTACTTATATGTTTTCTTTGTCCATTTTGATTGCTTTTTTGCTTGTGCTTGTGAGTTGTGAGTGAGAAGCTTAATCTAAAAGCCAACAGGTTAAATTTCCTTATTTTATTACTTCAAGCACCGGCACCGGCACCGACACCGACACCGACACCGACACCGACACCGACACCAAGAGCACAAAATGATAATTCTATCGCATTTCAAATTCAAGTTTTCGATGGTTTCGTGGCAATCTTATATAATATTTCAAGGCATGTTAAAATACATCACCATTAGATGTTCTTTTTGAAGTCAATCAAGTAAGAGTTGAATATTTATGTGCATTTCAAAATCTTTGAAATGGAGAATCTTTCCATTGCTACGCGAACAACAAGCAATATGATTTTTTCTAGTTGATCATGTTAACAACATGTTATCCCTTGTTGTTTTTGTAAAAACATAAAACACAAAGCTTAAATATATACTCTCTTTTTTGGCATACTGGATAAACTATTACGTACAAGAGTACTAGATTGAAATGAGTGTTTTTATTTTCAAAATGTAGTACGATATTACTACTTTATTCATTTTGGAATGCAAGTTTTGACAAGTAAACTGCTGAATTTGTGTTATGGTAGCTAGCTGCAGGTAGGAACTGATATTGAGAAAGTATGTCGAAGCTCTACAGCAGAGGGAGCATGTGCGAAGCTGAACTTACTTGGAGAAGAAAGAAATGCTCTGTGAAATCAAGATGTGGTCAACTAGTTTAAAGTTCGTTACAAGCTTTTGGTTCTAGTGGTTGTCCAACAGTACATTTATATTACACAATTGAAATTATTGTATTATATTAAAATTTCCTTGATGAAACCTTGTATTTGTATTCCTCTTTTGTGTATGCTTTCAATTATGAATATTTGAGCCTGTGGGTATGACATGATGCCTTTGTTTATTTCACGGTTAGCATTCCCAACTTGGTCCCATGTGCCATATGATATGATTTTATTTTTGTGATACATGTACATTTACGAAATCGATATACTGTAATGGATGATGCTACGAAATTGATATACTGTAATGGATGATTTTATCTTTGTTTATAAGTTTTTTAAGTGCTATTGGCCCCCAAGATAGGACATGTAAAAGCATTGGCGGAGTCAATTAAGGCCCACAAGGGTCACGTGACCCTTCTCAACATTTTAAAAATATTATATTTATCTATGTTATCCAAATTGTTTTATAGCTATACTTACTATGCCTACTGATGAGCTTGATTTTAGTTCCTGGTGGTGTCTGCCGTGCAAATCTCACAGCTTGGAGTTCCGGGCCGAGGGGATATGCGTTAACACGCGGTTTCCTGCTTTTGGGTGCGGTGCGGTTGTGCGCGGGCGTGCCAGCACGGTCTACTGTGCGTCGATGTGTTGATGAGTGTTGGATGGATAAGTGGTGCGCCTGTTTGAACTCATCTTCCTAATCAAATGATTGTAGCCGAGAGAGGAACTGGTCTCGGCTGTTAGGTTCACGGCCTGAACTACAAGGCCGTTGAGTGATGGTGTTGGTGGTGGGTTTTGGGCGGTGCTCCGGCGCGCTGCTCAGGGAGCGACGGTCGTGTGATATATGGGGTGAGTGAACGAACAACAAGGATGGTGCTCCGGCGCCTTGAAAATCAAGGGTCGTATGATATATTGATGAATGGATTTTCCTTA